TGCTGGAAACTATCATGATTATTATTGTTGGAAGCTCAAGAGGGGCTGCAATCCTCGAGACCTTGTAGCTTCGACAATGTTGCGAATACCAGGTTAATCCATTCTCATGCAGATACATGAAACTGGGACCAAATCTATGGCATCATCCTCTGCTTGCACATTCACTTTTACATGCCCTATATGTTTTTATCTCAATTAATAAAGCCTTAGCCCTCCATGATAGGTTAAAAAGATTTGCTGGCATCATTATTCATTAATTCCTATTTGTTTACTCATGTATATCAATATTTTGGTATTTCGCAACTTGTTTAATTGTTTGTATGCCTTCAATTATTGTAAAAAGCCTATTTTTTTACATATATCCTTTATATTTAAAGCGTTTATTAAATCCAGTTGATTAAAATACTTATATTTTTATTCTACCAGCACGAATTTGTCACAAATTCTGCACTTTCCAACCTCCTGACTCAGAAAGTGCTTCAGATGAAGCGGCAGATGGAGGCTAAAGAAAAAGGCCAACAGCTTCCGCTTCAAGCTCCTCTACCGTTGCAACAAGCCCAGCAGAAACAGCCGGGTCCATCACAGCAAATACCTTTAATGATGCATCAGCAGCAACAGCCACCTTCGGCACTTATCATATCTTCTCAATTGATTCCTTCTATTGGTGCTAGCAGTAATCAACAGCAGCAACAACAGGAACAGCAACAGCCATTGTCTGCATCTCAGCCCGTTACTCCAACGTCTTCTACTCTAAGCTTTATCGGCAATGGATCACTTATCTGTTCTGGCCCATTGGCAGACCAAACAGATGCCGGGGTTTCCGTAGGTCATACGCAACCGATTACTTCATTCGGTAGTACTGATACATCTGGCCAGCAGCGATCGTCTGCTGTAACTAAAGAGGTTCCTTTGCTAGTAAGTGTTATCTTATTAAAAAATTATTATTTGTTTTTAAGCCTACTTGCAGAGAGGCTCATTTGAAGGCCTTACTATTTCTTCTAGTGATTGAAACAAATACTATCTTAATGTACCTTGCCTTTTCATGGACTTCCCATAAAAGCTTCC